GGCGGGTGCTGCCGTACAGCGAGCCGGAGGGAACAAAGACACGGCTGAGCGCAGCACGTTCATATCCGGGAGGACAACTAATCAAGTGGGTCAAGGACGGACGAACGAGCACACCCGAGATCCCTGACGCAGCCCGAAGCAGGCCGAGGGGAAGCACGACTAAATCTAGCCGTGGATCGCAGAGCCTTTCCTCCGGGCCACCAGAAAGCTCGACGCCTCCACGACGGCAGCCTGCCTGCACGCAACAGCAACAAAGCTCTTGGAGCACAGGGACCGTCAGAGACTGAAGAGCTAGGAACGCCGTCATCTGAAATGATGGTGAGGAAATCAATGCCACACAAGCTATGGTAGCTGCCGTAGGGAACAACTCCTCCTCCAAAATCAAAGCGTATAAACCAAACATCTACTGGTAAAAGTAGTGGTAAGACTTCTACTCTAGAACATTGATAATCCTCATTGCTATTAAAAGAAACATTATCCATTATTACCCTTGTTAGTCTCCTTATCACTCCAATCGTTTCTTAAATAACTCCTTATGACTACAGCCTCATTAATTACGTAGCCAAACTGAAGTGAGTAAAGCTGGTGGGGACTCGGATCCCGATATTAATCCCTTGCCCATGTTGACATTTAAAAACAAACCAACCGAGGGAATTCCTGTTTACAACTTGATTTAAAACCAACACCACCACAAACACAAAAAGCCCCATTTCCTCTTAAAGGAATATAATTCAAGCAAGACGACCCACCACCCACTGCAGCAGCCTCCAATAACTCACTGCTTTAGAAAGCCGATTCAATAAAGCAGTACAGCCTGCCGGTAAAGATGGCTCAATTATTTTCATACTGTCACCTTGATTTAGCTTGAGCGAGGAAGGCAAGTCCAACAGATGCAAAAATAGACCAGTTTGCAAATGTCCTCCCCAAGTAGCTACGCCAAGGTCAACTGAGTCGGTGTGAAGCGCACAGGCAAAGAAGATGCATTCCTCCGTTATACCCTAGAACACCGCAAAGCTCACCCACGCACACCCAGGGCATCGTCCAAGTTTCTGGTAAAAGCCATTTGCTGGCTTTATAGGTACCCTCTGTAACTTTTTAAAAAAAAGGAAACAACAAGCCAGGAAGGGAGGAGGGGACCAAAAAAAAAAAAAAAGCATCCAGCAATGCTTCCACACAGTGCATTCCAGTGACCTTGCAATAAGAGGAAGATGCATCTTGGTGGCAGAAATAGGGATGCTCTTCTATTTTAATGTAAGAGGATTTCTCTGTTTTCCCGATACTGGTAAACTGATGACACTGCAGGAGAACACATGATAGCTCTCGCCAAGTTCTCTATATTTGGCTTTCAGCTTTTTGGTTGCCTCCCAGCAAAACAGACCAATTTCAGCTGGGAGTAAAAAAAAAAAAAAAAAAAAAAAAAAAAAAAAAAAAAAGACCAATTTAACCGGGGAGAAAAAAAAAAAAAAAAAAAAAAAAAAAAATCACAGCACTGTTTGTCAGACGGACAACCAGGACTGACACCCCTTGCTCCAAACCCTTCAGTGTCGCTCCAGGCAAAGATTCAGCTGCTACAGCCCTGCCGATAAGTAGCAAGCTGTCTGCTTCTACCGTTAGCCTTACATTCCAAATTACGCTGTTAGAGTGGAAAGTCTGATGCAAGGCCAGGCACTGGAGATGTCTACGTTGCCGTCAGAGACCCGACCGCGCTCTGACACGCACATCCAGCTCTCCATCCCTAGAGCTGCCTCAGTGCAGCCTTAGGAGCTACCCAGCGTCCCAACCGTGTGCTGGGGCTTGTGCTGCTCTCCGTCCCGCGTCTCCAGCGCTGTAGGCTTTCACAAGAGGCGGTTATCAGCAGATGCCCAACTAATCTAACCGCAGTGCGGAAAGCCCCCGTGGACATTTCTGTGTTCAGAAAAAAAACCTGACATTTCATGGCAGTGCCTGGAGAGCTGCCTGGCAGAAAGGGAAAAAAAAAGGAAGGCAGAAAAGGTGCTGGTAGACAGCCAGCTGAACATGAGCCGGCAGTGTGCCCAGGTGGCCAAGAAGGCCAACAGCGTCCTGGCCTGTACCAGCAATGGTGTGGCCAGCAGGAGCAGGGCAGTGATCGTGCCTCTCTGCTCGGCCCTGGTGAGGCCGCACCTCGAATCCTGTGTTCAGTTTTGGGCCCCTCACTACAAGAAGGACGTTGAGGTGCTGGAGCGTGTCCAGAGAAGGGCAACGGAGCTGGTGAGGGGTCTGGAGCACTAGTCTTACGAGGAGCGGCTGAGGGAACTGGGGGTGTTCATTCTGGAGAAGAGGAGGCTGAGGGGAGACCTCATCGCTCTCTACAGCTACCTGAAAGGGGGTTGTGGTGAGGTGGGTGTTGGTCTCTTCTCCCAAGTAACCAGCGATAGGACAAGAGGAAATGGCCTCAAGTTGCACCAGGGGAGGTTTAGACTGGAGATTAGGAAAACTTTCTTTACTGAGAGAGTGGTCAAGCATTGGAACAGGCTGCTCTGTTCCAATGTGGTGGAGTCACCGTCAGCGGAGGTGGTGAAGAAACGTGTGGACGTGGCACTTCAGGATATGGTACAGTGGGCATGGTCGTGTTGGGCTGACGGTTGGACTTGATGACCTTAAAGGTCTCCAACATTAATGATTCTATGATTTCCACCCAAGAGATGTTCTTGAACCTGCTTCTGATATTCCACCACCACATAAGACTTGGACTTTTGCTGCTGTTTTCTGCTGACTATGTAGTCCTTTTGCACTTTCTTCCAATCCCATTTTTCAAGTTGTAACTTTAAAGACACACACATTCAAAGATTTGCCACCTCGCAAAGCATTTCACCTCCCCAGAGTTAATGCCTGCCTGGCATCTGAAGCACCACTTGTCTTTCTCCCCGTCCAACCCCTGCTTCCTTATGCGCTCGCCCTGCCCGCTTTCTACTAGACACCGTAAAAACGGCCCAGAAAAAAGATTAGAAAAGGATCTCTTCACCGCTGCCTGGAGAGCTCTTCCACTTCTAGCTGGAGGCTGTTGATTTTGTCCCCAAACTCCTGCTTGAAGAGACGGTTGTCCTGCTGGGCCAACTGACGGTCCTTCTCTGCCTGTCGCAATCTGGATTTGAGCCACATGAACTTGTGATAAAAAACAAAAGCCATGGTGGGGAGGAAGACCGAGTTTAACCAACAAATAAAAGACCCAGTGAAAAGGTAAAGCCAAAAAAAAAAAGGAATGGTAACAACAATGGAAAGGAGGAAAATATTTTAAAGAAAAGCAAAATGTAGGTGAACCAGGCAGAAGCTCTGATTTTCAAGAGTTTTTATTCTATTACTACAGTTTACAGCCATTAGATGAAAAACATAAAACATCACTATTATCCAGATTCAAAGCAAACCTCAAGTACACAGAATTTTAAGTCAAATTTGATTTTAATGTACGTTACATTTCAGCTTTACACATGTAACTGGAACTTGCAACATAGGTTAGCTACTATATTGAGAATTAGTGCATTTTCCTGGTCTCTTCCCCGGACTGACACATGGGCTCAAGCGCCCAGGCATTAATACACCAAAGCATTTCTGCTTCGGGCCTGACATCAGAAACGGCCAGATCCTTAAATTCTGTCTTGTTTTAGCATTACTGACACAGCAAACACAGCCCAACCCTCTGTTTTTACAGAAGAACTCTGGGGAGGGGCAGGGGAGTTAACTGTTCTAACAACTGGCTATTTGGATAGCTTGATGAAAGCTTCTGCCTTTTATTTATTTCTTCCCACCCCCAGGTAGTTAAATGCATTTCTAGTAAAAGGTTACTGAAGGTTAAGTTTATACTTTCAAGCCTGCAACTTGGGCATCGCGTAGATATTTAGAACAGGCCTCCAAGTCTGCTTGTGTGCGGGAGTCCGCTAGACAGGCTAAGCGCTGGTACACGCTTGCAGTACTGGAGGACTAGGCTGAGCCTCACCGATTTTGAAATATATCTGGAGAGAATCAATAGGTGTTCTTTTCCCAGTTGCGTTTCAGTCGCATTTGCCACCCAAGGAGCCCAATCCCACAGGGCAAAGGGAGAACTGGCACCAAAGAATTTCAACAGGCATCTCACCGGAGAAAAAACACCCTTACTCAATACAGAACCCCCCCAAATGGGATCTTCTTGAAATGATAATTAAAAAAAAAAAAACCAAACCTCTAGGAGCACTTAAAACCTAAAGCCCGTGACAGGCCAGCACGGTGAACTTGTGCAGCCACAGGGAAGAGGATATTAGCTTATAATAGTCCAAGCTACAGTTACTTACAGGTTTGCACTGGGGTGTTAAATTGGCAATTATTTTTCCTATTCAGAGCTTTTTCCAAGCTTTATGTGTTCTTTCATTAGCAAATCCCATTTGTATTGAACAACAGAAACTCAGAAGCCAATGAAAGAAGTGTCATAGTAAAAGGCAACTCTTCCTTTTAAACCACTAACTACTCAGACAAGGAATGGTCAAGTGCCAAATTACCATTTCCACTCCCCACCACTGCACATTTTGTTCCTTTTTCTTTTTTTCTTTTTTGTTTTGTTTTTGTTTGCTTGCCTTTTTTTTTTTTTTTAAACAGTAGAGTATAAAGATCAGATTAGTTTTTTGTAAAACGTGTAACTTCCCTTTCTAGGAAGGGGAGAGACCTACCAAAACACCTCTCCTTGGCTTCCTTCGGTCAGGAAGAACTGCAACGTAGGTCTAGAGGGGTTCATGGCAGAGGTAGAAGGCAATGCAAAGATAAGGAGGTTTCCACTGAACTTACCACGCTATCATGTTACTCTAAGACACCTAGCTACTAATTCTGGACACATGACGTTTAAAGGAATAAGGGTAAGTCATAAGTCCCCACCCTCCCACCGAGTCACTGAGGCAAAATCGTTGCAAGCAACGTCGGTTACAAGAGGGCTGCTCTTCACAGTGACGAGCTATCGAGTCGCTCCCACTCGTCCTGGACTTGGGGCTGAACCCACGCAACGTAAGTGAACGGGAAACGGCTTGGGGTATGCACACAACTACTTTCAACAACTTCCAGGGATGCATTTTTTTCGCCTACTTCACAAAAAGGGGGACACAGAAAACTAGTTGACTTTCCAGAGCTGGCCACTCTGATATTGGCTTGACCAACACACCTAGTATCCGTAAATGCTGAAGACTTGTGCTGCTGTATGCGGTATGCGTCACCAGGGTGTACAGAGCCACATATGCCTCATTCCTTATGCTTTTCTGGTGTGTTTATTGGCCAACTCATCGGTACTTTAACATCGTTTAAATGGCAAAGTTAGGGATTTTTATACCCGACTCTGAATCTCTGAAGAAAAACTCATTTTAAAAAGTCAGGAAATTCCAAATCAACTTTAGGTGACAATTAACATTTTAACAGTTGCTTTTAGCAATTCTCAAGTTCTCCCTCATAAATGAGTTCTGATGTCAGAGCTGTGAGGTGACCAGACATAAAAATGTCTAATGATGCTTCTGGATCAGTTTGTTTGCTGCACTATTTAAGGTTTTTGCCTGTTTCACCAAATCCTTTTCACTGTATAAGTAAGTCAGAATGAGGAGGATGAGAAAATGGAAAAATAAAAACAGCAAGAGAAAAAGAGCAAATCAGTTAGCTGAGCAGATACCATAAAACATTTCAAAATACACATTTTCTACGAAGAAAATGACCTTTTTTATAAAGAACCATTCACAATACTAACCCTAAAACGAGAGCATTAATTTAGTGCAATGCCCTACTCATTAAATAAGTCCAAGACAATACATGTTGCTGCAAGCTAGGCTTTCCCCTGATTTTCTTGGCGCTACAATGACAGTCAAGGCGATTCAAAGAGGCTGAAGTTCTGAACCTCTGGCCAAGCCACCACGAGGCCTGGCTTCGAGAACAAGACAGAGGGGAAAAAGGAGCAGAGGGGAAAAATTTGCTCCTCCTCAAATCAATCTGACTTCACTGCTGAAGCCCTCCTAAGTTCATGAGGGTTAGTAACCTGAGAGCAACACTGCCATTAGGATGGAACTTGTGCCAGTTCCAAATATTATAGCTACGGGCTGTCTTTAAAAACTGCTAGCGGCAGCCAGGCTGCCCTCTAATCTTCCTCCATTTACTTTCACTTGAGGATTTTTTTCAAGCTCACCTCCCTCAGAAAGCACAAGGCTGTTTGTAATGAGAATGGTTCAATTTGGGGTGTTTTTTTCAAAAACAGTACCAGAGAGATTTGGAATAAGCAAGCACCTCCGAGCCTGGCCTCTGCTGCACACTTGTCCTTCCTGCTCCCACTGTAGTATTGTCATGAGCAGTCAAGCACTTCTCTAGTTCATATTTACATTTTGTATCAGTGCTACCAGAGATAGCAATTGACTTGTAACAACATACAGAAGCGCAGCTGACACAGACAAAGCTGCTACCTTAATTACTGGTTTAGTAGCATATTCTTTTCTAATGGAAACCCTCCTGAGCGTGCAAAACACTTCTCCTAAAAGCATCTCACAAAATTATAGCTCTCCTTGTGTTGCTGTGTTGACTCTAAAGACTCTCGCCTGGTCCGTTCAAGGTCAGTGGGACACTACCGCTAGAATACAAACATCATTTTATAATTGTAAAAGTTGGGGTTTTTTTACCTTTGTTCAAGCTGTTTGATGGTGGCAGCCATCTGATTTGTTTTTTCTTCCAAACGGCTGTTTAATTCGCTCTTCTGTTTCACTCCCATGTCTGAACTCTGGAAAAAGTAGCATCATCTTTTTTTGTAAGTTCCAGTAACACCAAAGCAAGTCGCAAGAAATCACGTGGCACGTGAAACAAACGGGGCAGGAGCCAAAGAGGCAGCAGAAGGTGCTCAAGAAGCAAATGCCAGGTCAATATTGCAAGGACAAATGTCTTGCCATGCAGGTAGGCGTAGGCTACATCTGGACGCCACAGAAGGGCAATACCGTAATCAGTGAAGCTTCCTGTTGAATACATACTAATGCACTACCTGCTAATATCTTTCAACTGTTTTGCACAGAATGACTGGCTCAAGGACAGCACAAGCAACTCTTTTGTGTTCAGAATTTTTTTAAGATTCTTCCCGAGCATTTTGGGTTGCTTTTAGTCTTAAGAGTCTGCTTTCGTCATCACACGGTAATGTACGTCAGTACACCATACACCTTCAAAAACTAGATTGTATGGGAACAGGAGCGACTGTGGCTCGGTTTTTATACCACACCACCACAGAAGATGCTTTCCCCAATCACACACACATTTCTGGATCATCACGAGTCTTTCTTCGGTGGAAACAACATTTTCCTTTAATCTCCACCACATTCATTTGTTCAAGTACTACAGCTTTCCGGCTGGAAGACAGAAGGATGCTATACAGCCTCTAACCCTTTCACAATGAGCACCTTACAAATAGATAGGGGAAAAAAGACTATGACCTGGAACTCACTGCATCTGATTTAATTATTTCCCTACCTGCAACTTGAAAGACAGTTCATGCTTTAGGGCCCTGAGATCATCCAGTTGCTGCCTGAGCGCCACCAGTGCATCTTGCTTCTCGCAGACATCTTTCTCTAGCATCTTCATGGCTAGCTCCATCTCCTGTCGCATCCCGATCTGCACCTCCAGCTCCTTCTCCACATCCTGGAACAGACGGATTAGTCAGCATTACCGGCCAGCTTTCCTCACTGTCCGCGAGAGAGCCACCCTTCGCCGGCGCTCCTGCCAGTGCACTCACTATCTACAAGCGTGCTGCACTGCCACAGCGTCACAGGTACAGACCTGACCCATCCAAGACAGTTAAGGACAACAAATTCACATTTTCAGTCCAATATTAAAGCAATGTAAACAGCATTACCAGCAAAGGGTCACAAAGTACCACATAGGGCCATCTTTCTGATGGAGCGAACTAGTGAAAAGCTGGCAGACTTTTTATTTCCTAAAAACCTTCTGTTCAGGCAATTTTCCCCGCACCAGCTGAACACACTGTATTGAGTAACAGTTCAGGCAGTGGCAATATCCTCATCTGGCAATGGGGATATGTCACACCTAGAAATGCAACTGTACTGCTCATTTTGAGAGACGGACCTCAAATCCATCAATAGAGCCACAAAGTTAACACCGCTTCTGACAAGACTGTCTCGGATCAGGCTAAAGCAGGCAGGCAGGCATGAAAAAAAGTCCCCATGCCAAACATGTTCAGAAGTGATTGTCTGACATGGAGTCATGACGTGAAAAAGCCATTTGTAGCAAGCGCCAAGCTCACACCGTACTTACCAGCCTCAGCTGAGTCTCCTCCTTCAACTGTTTCCGTGCCTCGGTCAGTGCGTGTCCATCAGCAGTTCTGTCTTTAGCGACCTAAGTTCAGGAAGACGCCCAATTAACTTGTCATTACATACTACCAACCCTCACATTTGCTGGTTATTTGCTTTTCCCACCATCTTGACAACAAATTCTGCAGCTATCAAAACTCGGAGCTCCAGTCAGTTAACGCAGCACGCGGCTTCCCTGGGAAATGATTCTATTGCCCCGTTTCCCCAAGCGCTCGGTGCGCTTTAACGGATATGACTTAGATGGACAGACTGCCTGTTTTCACAACTTTCACAATATACTAAGTATGGTTAGAAAACCTCAGGAAAAGATCTTAAGGGTTTAAAAACTGAAGCCAGGTTCTGCCATAGTTACTAGCCCTTTCAATACATCAACAAAAAACATTTTATAGAACCTGCCCCTTGATTTCCAAAAAGGGTAGCATTTCAGGCCAAAAAAGCACAACTCCTACATCCAAGTTTTTCTGCCACCCCGTCAGTAGATCAGTCTTCCTCTTGTCCCTTCTGACACCTCTGCCCAGCAAGCCACGAACACGCTGCGTTAGCTCTCGGCTCTGCGCACGCTCACGGTTAAATCAGCTACCGCCAGGCAGGATTTACTGTGGCCAGGGTCCATCTGTCACCCTCTGCGGAGAACCCACCTGGAGTCACGCTACCCAGTGCGATTTTTGTGTGAGATGGATAAGGAAATGAAGTCTCTTCCAAAAACTGACTTCTCGGTCGAATTTGGCCTGGGACTGCCCAAAAGGTTCAGTAATCATTCACAAACACCAACCTTACGATTGGACTCTAAGATGTAAGAACTTTCTTCTTTAACCCGTTCCATCTCCTCTTGCAGTGTGATAATCCTGTTGTTTGCAACCGCAAGCTGTGAACAAAGCAGAACCACAGTAACTTATCAAAAGCGTACTCGATCCTTTTTTTTTTCCTCTCTAGACATGATTTCTGTACTCAAAGTGAGGGGAAAAAAAAATATCTGGAGCAGCAAAAGAAACAACCTGGCCTCCACCATGGAGAAAGACTAGCCGAAAAAGTATCAGTTAGTGCCAGTGTGATGGATTTCCAGTATTGGCTAAAACAGAGACTTCCCAACCAGTTTTGGTGCCTGTCTTTCAGTAAAGTTATGAACTTCTTCAGGTCTCTACCTCCTAGGCTCGGTGTAATGTGTGGTTAGCACAAGCCAAGAGAAATCCTCGCTCCATTCTCCTTCCCTTGCCAAAGATAACAAAAAGGAAAAACATGAGCACAGGGCAGCTAAGTTTTGTTGACTTCTAGCACTTGAAATTATTACCAGAGAAGAAATACTTGCGTGGGTTTGCTAAAGCTTCAGTAGTTTGGGTATAGCGGTAAGTAGAGCGCCTCAGATCTAAGATGCTCAAGCATTTGGGCAGGAGAAGAATGATGAGAACCTCACCAGAGGAGGAAGATTTGGCTGGAAACAGAGCATCAGTAGCACACATCGCCCTAGAGACAGGGAATTCCTGCCTCAGGGGAGTTCCCAGTGAAGACATCACTGCAGACTAACAGATTACTTTGAATGTGTGGTCAAAGGCCAAAATAGCTTCAGAAAACTCCTTCCAGCTTTGTAAATCCTAACTCGCGTAAGCCTTGCGCACAAGAAAAGCTCAGTGACATTCCAAGAGACCAGCAGTGATATTAAGTGACAAATCCAAATAGAAATGACCCTGACAGAAGTGCGAGTCTTTAGTACAGCTCGTGCCAAATACACAAATTCATGTGATGCGACGCAGTTCACTAACTACACCATGCAAACAGCCCTGGTTGGCACCGCGTGTTCCAACGTCACTTCAACTCTTACTTTGAACAGCATGCAGACTTCACTAAGATAGAAGCAGGTAAATTACTGAAAATCAAAAAATACTTCAGACAATATTGCAATTCATCTCATAGGTACCGTGCCTAATGGGCACAGCACTCATACTCTGCAGGTAATACATCAAAAGCCACTTATTATAGTAGCACTGACGAAGGCCACCTCTACTGCAGACTACCTTTTTAAAATTAGAAAGAGTATTTTAATTGTAAAAAACATTTCTTACTCCTTAATTGCAAGAGTGGTTACACTAATTTCCATCGCTAAAGCTTCTCGTCCTTTGGAATACATCCATTAGAGTAAATGTTCAACAACCAGACACAGAGACCTCCTTTGATGAGGGTAAGAAAGCAAACAAGAATTGCTATTTCATATTTTTACCGCAAGAGCACCGAGACATCCCCATCAAAATCATTCTACTGAGCGGACAGACATACTATAGAACCGTCAGGATGAGACCTCATGTCACACACTTGTCAGGGAACTGACTCCAAAAAGTTTAAGTACATTTATGCCATTACTAATGAACTGCAAGACCAGTTTTAAAACACAAGTTATGCCCATGACTCACGTACCAACCATTCCTCATGCTCAGACTGAACGACGTTTTCTCTATAATGGTAATTTTTGCTTTATTGCTTGAGAACTGTGACAGGCTAGAGAAAAAGTTATTGACACAGTTCAGTTACTATCCTTACATTCTAGTAAAGCTCTGCACCTGTCAAGATCAACAGACATTCAAAAACTTCTTTGTCACGTCTGGACATCTCAGAACCTACATAAGCTGTACGGTGCTGGAAACCACATCCGCCGTATTCTAAGGCATTTTCCGAAAGTCACAAAGCCGTCAAAGGCTTCAGAGGGATAAAGTGCATTCAGCAGCTTTTGATTTTCAACATACACATTTGGTTGTTTTTCCACCTCATGCTTAGCCAGTAGCAACATCCCATGTAATTCCTTGGCAGGTCAGTTATTCCAGTTCCATTGTTAAGCACTCATCATTATGTACACCAGAAAGCTGAAAATAACTCCTCCCTTACCTTTTTAATCCCCGATTCCAAAAGGCCAAAATATTAGATGATTTTCTGTTACACTTACCTCCTCGGTCAGTTTAGTGTTGGATTTTTCTAAGGCATCCACCTTGGCCTGTAGGTTGTTTACTGTAGCACTGTTAAGAGAAACAAAAACCCTACCGTAATTCCTTCTTTTTTAAAACCCTGTTTTCTATTTGGTTATGCTATATAATAAAGAACAAATAAATCATGTCTTACCTTAAATGTCTATTGAGTTCTTCCACATAGTTTTTCTGGTCCAAAATAGCAGTTATCTGACCATCTCTGGAAAAAAAAAATATCATTCACCTCAAGCATTTGGATTCAAAGAACTAGAAAGCGTGGCGACGCAGCCCGTGACTCCAGCGTAGCACCAATACCCAGGGTCTCAATGAGTCTGTGTGACGTATATGAAATAGGAAAGGCGAGTTACAGTCTATGCCTCGGTCATCAGGCGCTGTCCCCTGACTTCTCAGCAGCTGCAACTGCTACATTCACCTGCGTGACACTCAGGCATTTTGTGACACACAAAACAGAGGAAAAAAATGGGTTTGCACTACATGTTTATTGCACAAGAGTCATCACACCGAAATCAGGTCAAGGAAAAGTGTCTACAAATGCATGTTTTGCATGCACTTCCCGCAGGAAATCTTAACTAAAAAAAAGAACGTTCTAAAAATCAAACTGTAGATAAAACAAATGCAATCAGAACACCTGATTCAGAGACATAATATTAAATATATACCTGAATTCAAACTGGCAGGGCTTTCTTAGAAGGAAGAAGTACTCTTGAAGAGCCTCAGAAAACCGCAACACCCGATCCGTGTGCCAGCGTGCCCACAATGCGTTTTTCCACCGCTTGCTCTGAACGTTGCACAGCTCTACGCATGCTGGCACGAGTACTTTAGGCTATTATTGCAGTTACCATCTTTTCCAGTTGGAGACATTTTTTTTCCTAAGGGTGTTATGGTGCCAAAAATCAACTACTTTCCTGCTAGCCGTAAAACTGGTGAAGGCTACTAAGCCGCTTACCAACAAGGCTTTAAAGAACAGCAGACATAAGACCACAGAGGGTCACTTGTGAAATATTTTTATCTTCAATGGCCAGTTAAGGAAGAACGCACAGAATTTCTGTGAAACTTTCCTTTGTCCATGCCCCCTCCCAATATTTCCAGTATCTCATTTATACATTATGGTTTATCGTACAAGAGCAATTCAGTCTAAGTAGCTTTTTCATTAAAAATTGATCAGCTTGCAGGGCAACCCAGAATACTTGAATACAAGTGATAGGAAGCAGGACAACTGTGCGTGTACCTACCCTTCGCTGCCTTTCGTGCTGTTCCCATCTTTCAAATACATTGAGAAATCAATAACTCCAACCTAGAAAAGAAAAATTTGCATTTTCCTTTGAACACTTTTCCCAAGACTAAACACTGTCCATAGTTGTGGAAGGTTGGAGTCATTCAGTTAGAACACCAGTACATATTGTATTAGAGCAAGGATCCATTATACCAGTAATCTACCCATGAAAACGTGGCCTATTTCAAGCAAAAACATAGTAGGATAAGCCACAAGTTGGCAAGCAAGTCTTAGGACATAAGGAGAAACCATTACCATCCGCTTACCTGTGATAGATACGCTGCTTATGCAAGCCGTAACATAAGCGTACACAGGCTCGTTTTCTTTTGTTTAACAGCTACAATGATCTCATCACACAGCGTGAGTCAATTAACAGTTCTGTCCACTTCTCCCCTCACTTTCGCTAAGTCCTTCCCTGTTTTCTCCTCCTTTTTCATTTACTACATTTCAAGTCCAGTGACCCGCACGCAAACCCATAGCGAAGCGCAGCAGCGAAGAGAAAACCAAAATCCTGAGTCTGATCTCAGTGCCACCAGCAAACTGAAGACCCCAATCACCATAACGAGCTTATATTAGTCTTCTATTACGTATAGTGACCAACTCTTATCTCAGTTGATGCAAGTCCTCTACAATGGAAAATACTACCAATTTTAAGGAGCGAAAAGAACTGAACACCCCGTACCTGTGAGTCCAGGTCTTCTCCTTTCATGCAAAAGTTGGCATCGATGACATTCAAACCTACTAGGAGGCCAGCAATGATCGCTCCTTCTTCTTCCATCATCAGTGCATTAGGCTCATAAAATTCACTGCAGGATACACGGCAAGAGAAGACAAGTGTTGCATCTTTAAAAATCAACTAAAACTATGTCAACTGCCATGGGATCCCTGCGATTTCAAAGGACAATATCACACAAGTGCAGCCTTAACAACAACCCAGGCAGCGGCACATAGTCCACACGGATACGTACTCCTGCTCTGACTGAACCGATCTCTCCTGGCACAGTAAGTCTTCAGGTGAAGCAAAGACCCACTAAGTAGGAGACCTGGGGCCTCACTGTTGAAGGGTGACGGAAAGTAAGCACAATCCTTGAGTAACGGTACAGCACGCTTAAGGTTTAAGACTGGGACTTTATATCAGAGGTTTTTTTTTTAAGTAGCATACGTCTACTACTACATAGTACTACTACTAACTACACAGCGTTATTAACACAAGCCGCTGCCGCCACATTTTCCAGTGGACAACACCAAGTTCTCCTTTCTAGCCCCAAGTCAGTTATGGATTTACATGGACAGCCAGTGGAAACCTACTTGTTTGAGTAAAGAAACACCAATACATTTATTAAATCCTACTGCTTTACACAGATGTAGTAGCTCACATCGGTGGCCTTTCAACTAGATGACAAAATTATTGCTGTTTTATGAGCAGGAAGAAGAGATAGAGAGAAGGGAAATGACTTGTTCCAAGTCAGACGTTAACAAAGCGACAAGGTCAGAAACAAATCCAGGGCCAAGATTTTGCAGAGACAGAATGCTGTATCCCCTCTGTCCAACTATTTCACCCAATTCATCTCTTCGGAACCAAAATTTGTGTTTATTCTAATGGATATTTGAGACAAAGCTAAGAAATAACAGCTTCTGAATTCAGAAAGAATACTAAGCATTTTTAATGATGCTTAGTATTTAATTCCTCCCTCAGAGGAAGCTCTGCATTTCACAGATATTACCATTTCTCAAAAAAGTACATGCATGCTTTACCATTCGGGTGTAGAAGACCGTAAAGATCTTAGCAAAGAACAGAAGTGAACCTAACCTCATCCGAGAGCGAGCTCAGCACTCACCTGAGAAGATCCTTTCTGTTAATCAAGGCCTTCATGTATTCTGACAGTTTCTTCTGCATTAGAGCCAGGCGAAGCCAAGCTCTTCCTCTGCCCACAGGTGTCCTACAAAGGCCGGAAACAAAACAGTTAGGGACGTCCTGCAACACACTTTCACAAACAGTGCTAATAATCCCATTCCATCTAAAGTTTCTGCATCTCAAAGACAGAGCTGGCACTGACAAAAACATTGAAATACAAGGTATGTACATGCAAATAGCTACGGGTAAGTTTATCTAAGCAATCACTGCTTCTCTCATCACTAGCTTTGTATTTGTTATACTAAAAAAGTATTTCCCTGACTTAAACCCTGGTGGATGCTACTACATAGACAGAGATCAGCTGCTTCGACACGTCACATTCTAATTCAAGATCAGTTTTGCGTAAGGCAAGCACCGCTCCTTCAGGTAGGTGTTCAGTTGGCTGAGAATCCACCAAGACAACTGAAAACACAGATTCAGTACCGTTCTCTTCAACTATTTTGCTCGTCAACACACCCACAGGATGCAACGGGTTACAGTCACAGTCCTTCCCCCTCAGTTTCTCCTGTCAATCGGAAGCATGCAGCTTGAAAAATACGGTAACCGATAACACTGCATCAGAGCTCTGGCTCACCTCCCCTGGCATGCTGGCCAGGAGCCAGCACCAGACGCTCCAAAGGAAGGTGCAAAGCCCCCGTGCTGAGCCGTATTGCGATTAGAAGGAAATTTCTTTTCCGTCTCCAGCAGTCAAGTCAGCTGTCTTATACTAAACAGCACGTGGGGCACTTTATCTCCTAACCTTCACCGGTATAAGCAGCAATTGTCCATGAAATTGACCTCACTAATACGTCCCACGACATTTCCCAAGGGTTAGTATCAATGCAAGGTTTAGAAATGGATTCTAAAACTGTTCTTTATTTCAATTTCTGTAACATTTCAATATTATTTTACAGCAGGAAAAGGTAACAGGAGATCTGGCACAACGCTGTTGGCACTCCACGCTGGTCCTGTGAGCTCTTCCAGGAGGAGTCCTGCACAGACCTCCAGTAAAAGCGCTTGTCCATATGTATCACTAAATACTAACCCAAAAGAAGCTGCTGTTGAATCTGTTCATCTCCTCTTTCAGCAACGAAGATTTAATCCTTAGTCCTGCTGCTCATAGAAAAGCTTCCTTAGATCTTTTTTCTATTCCCCAGCCTGAAAGCTTCTTACAGTTTCTTTTTAGCACGGAATACGCAAACTTCAACGTGACGTCTGAAATGACTACGAAATTTTGTAAACGCAATATATACTTAAAGTGTTTTTTTCCCCTCTCCTCTTTAACATAAGCTAGTATCTTCTCCAGCTTCTTGACTGAGCTTCCCTTTTACACAAACTTGGTAAGTTTACCTTAATTTATTTAAAAGAAAAATACCTCTGCCCATCAGCCTCAAACCTATTTAACCTGGCATCACCTTCCTTCCAACTCCCTTCCTCTTCAGTCTGACTTCAGAAATAGTCAGGAAAGGTTTTTCCTACTCCTGAGACACATCGTCACTCGTTTAGTGCTAGCAATAAATGCACTATTGCCCATCAGACCCCATGCACTTAACACAGAAAGAAAGAATATATGCTATCCTCTCCTTCTGCAGCTCCTTGATTAAGCATAAAAGAGAGTAATGATCCATTTTTATCAGCAGAAGGTGGCAGATGTATTCCTGAAGGTCACGTTTGCCCTTCCTTCTCTTCTTCAGGATCCTTCTTACAATAAAAACATTATGTGCTTGTGCACTGAAAGACTGTACTTACTTCAGCCCTGGGAGATCCTTAACGCTTGCTGTAATTTCTGCAGCTTCAGGAACAAGCTTTTCTACTAGTTCTAGAGGTCCCCAAAAGGACTTATTTTGCCCAAGAAAAGTCTTTTTGGCTAGAAAAGAAAGATAAAATGAGCCCGTTAGGCCTGTGCTGACGAAACACATTCTCAAACATGGTCAGAAGCGAACAAACAGTACACAAAAATCGTCAGATTTTTCTGGGACTGCTGCTGGGCATGTACAAAAGATGACTTCTTATGCCCGAGTGTGGCAATTAGTTGTATCATTCAGATAAGGCAACGGGAGCTTGAGATGGATGCCAGAAAATATTCCATGCATCCCCACCATGCCAAAGCAACTGTATCCGGTGATAACCAGCAACTTAGATTCACTGCCAGAGGTCAAAACTTCTACCAGCATGCTGTCACTGTCCCCAAGTCACAGCTGATGCGTGCACAGTAGTTTTCTCTCACTGACCATCACATTACAAGGAAAAGGACCACACCACTTGGAACCTGCTCCTTCTCCACAGCCTCCTGGGGCTTCTCTGTGCATCCTTTCCTCCTTCGGGAAAGCTTTCTAGTGACCCCTAGGTACTAAAGCTGGAAATTCATTTTCCTCTTCCATAGTTCTTACTGATACTTCACAGCAGCAGTGAGAAGATCGAGAACTTGCTTACCTTCAACCTCATGGCCAGCAGTAGGGACACTGGCAAATAGCTAAACATAGAAGCTGAAGAATATGAACCCTTCTCCCCTGCATAACATTACCCTCACCAGCACAGGCATCGCTTCTTCTGCGCCTCAGGCTGACCACCAGTGCTAAAGAAGCACCACAGGACATACGTACGGGTGCTGAAAGGGCATTTAATATCCTCCGCTTTTCATCTTAAGCTGCTATCACACAGAGGCAGCACATCAATTAAAGTATTCTGGTACTTCACAATTTTAGTTGTGATTCCGCATTATTAGACGGTTAAATATATGCTCTGCTTGCTATTGTAGAAAGCATCTTACAAGACCATAGCTGCACAAAGCCAAAATCCTCAGTTTTGACAGAACTATTGAGAAAGGACCTCCGTGTTGCAGTTCCTCTTCCAGCAAGAGGACCGTCGTGTCCCCAAAGCACCAGGAAGTGCAGAAGAAAAAAAAGGGAGTCATGAGCTTGCTGAAAAGCTAATTTTACCACTGATCACTTAGTTATACTCGAGTCATCTGAAAAGCTGTTTTAAAAACAGCAAGCACCTGCAACATCTCTGAACTTTTCCCTGGCAGTGTGATACCTTCAGCAGAAGTTTTTCCCTTCCTGTGGCCTGGCAAGTCAACTGTGATCGCAGCAGTGACCCTGCCCGGCCTCTCTCTAGTCTACTGTAGAGTACAAACCCAGATTTTTGAAATGAGATCGCTCTTTCTCGCTCCCACGCTATGACGAACAGCTACGACTCCTGTCGAGCAAGGTCACCTTTCAAGCCGTGTTTAAGGCAGTGTTCCATCACAACGAAGAACTGCTGAAGAGGTGCATAGTCAGAGTCCAGCGTCCTGCCCAGATTAAGCGCCGATTCAATCAACCCCTTGATACTCAGTTTCGCCATGTTCATCAGGTTCATGCGTTCATTAGCCATGAGATAATTAGGATCTACAACAAAAGGAAGAAAAATACTGTTGAGTAACAAAAGCTATTTTTAATACAATAAGATATCCCATTTCTCTCTCTTTTTGTTCCTCAGCTTTCAGGACATTTTTAGGGGCAGTGGCAGTTTCACGCGAGGCACTCTCTTCAGGCCTTTTGTTGAGAAAAATCAAAATTAATGACCATTTTACAGCCAAAGCCACAATGACATGGGTATGGGCGACATAGCACATTAAGGGTGCCTCAATACTTCAAATAACTACAGAAGCTTTACATTTTCAAGAAAGTGAAGTTTGAAGACAGCTGTTAATATTGTGCTTTACCTCTTGCCAACACGATACCAAATGTTACGGCCGTCACTTGTTCCAACTCAACTCCCCAGCAACTATAAACTGCTAAGAATTCTCCACTTGCGATTTGCTCTTCCATCTAAAAACAACCATGAATTCACTCACGCTTAATCCAGCAACATGTGTGTCTATCCAGTCTTGCATCTTCCCTTCTCTTTTTTTTTTTTTTTAAACTTGGATTTAACATGGAGCCAATTCCCACGGATCTCTCCTCATTTTATCAACGCTACTGTTTTTTACCATTGACAATAAGGGGCCGATCTTCACGGCTCCTCTGACAGCTTGCCCGAAGTCCCGACACGCACAGATCTTCCAAGACTATATATTCTTCCCCTACCATAATATAAATATTCAGACCTTTATACATGCTAGTTGCTTCTCACTGCAAGAAACAAATACAGGCATCCATTTTCCAAACTACACCCTGCCTGCAGGCCTCCTGCTCCCTGACCTGTATAATGTGCCCAAGCCAACACCCATCCTTTCACAGAGCACCTCTCTTCCCAATCACCATCAGGGCATTTCCAACACCTCAAGAAACAAACTCATTTACAACAGTACTGTCCCGTAACTGCAGTGACTTGTGCTATGTCCACAACAAATAAAGTGTGCTTACGCTTTAGGCCAGGAGACAGGCAGCAGTAGAAAAAAATTCTGGCTACTAGAAGGATGTTGCATCAGTTACACGTTTTATGTTTGTATCTGTTCCACTGGCAATCTCTCACCCAATTTTTGAGCAGGAGTTCTTTGGTGCAAGCGGTTTCATCCCTGTAAGGCACGTTTATTCTTAGGCTGCTGTAAACAGCCATGGACCCTTGAACCAATTTGCCACCTTCGCAGGTGACTTTACTACGCCTAGCAGCAGAAACGGGACCAGAGGACATCCAAGACTACGTATCTAAGCACAGAGTACACCCTTTATATGCTATACTGACAAAGAATGCTTGCATCTAGCAAACAAGTAAAGCAAGTGACTATCGGAGACTGAAAACTTTCAGTTAGAACAAAAGGAGATGCATTTCTATTTAAAAGACAGAGGAACAGGTAGCTAAGTTGGAGGAAAGAAGCCATAAAAATATCTAGAAATCTAAGCGGGGGAAGAATGGCTGTTCCTGCCTGCTCTGTGGAGTCCCACCACCCGGCCCCCCCCAGCGACGCCTGTCGTGGTGTTCTCAAGCTCTTTTTGACTGTTCGGAGGCTCCGTCTCTTCAATGTACGGACAGCTGAGACAGGTTCCTATGTCTCTCCTTAAAACACCTCTCATGGTCGAGGAGGAGGGGAAGATGCAACCCTCATTCTCAGTGGATACAGTCCCTAAGTGAAGTCTTGTAGAAGTTTGGGGTTATATTCAACAGCTTTGCCACCGAGTAAACACCAAATCTCTACTAGGCAGGTGGACTTGAGCTGTCTGGACTGTTAACAGTTTTCACCCTCTTGCCAATACAACTGTGAAGAACGATTTCTTGCAATTTAAAAACACAGCAACTTTGCCAAAAGAGGCCAAGGGGTACGTTCTTCTGAGACCACTGCAGTCTCCTATAGGACTTGTCCTGATGATGCAAGTCATCACCCCGCTTCATCTCAACGCTGATACTGACAAGTGCGGTTTGCTCAAATACAAACTCCTTTCCAACCTAGTGATTCTGTGATTCCTTGTCTTCTCAAATGTACTGCCCCTGCAATGAGGCGTCTTGTCAGCACCCACCAGCCCAAGAGAGAGCAAGGAGCAAAGCTGAATAGAACTACAGAATCATGAAGAAAATATCTGGTATCTCCTGTACGTTGAGAAGCACTGTAGGCCCAGCAACCTGCACCCAACAGGACTAATATATGATTTCCGTAACCTACGGCTGAATGCAGAACAGGCAAGAGGAGGAGCAACTGCTGGTGTGCAACTGAGACTCCTTAGGCCAGACAGAAGGGGACACTGAAAGGCACCCCCAGGTTGGGAGATGAAAAGCCCGTCTGCCAGAGGACAGGCTGTTTTTGTGGGGGATGCTGCTGCTGACTCAAAGAAACAGTCAGACCTAGCACCGCGGCGACAGCGCTAACAACACTCGAGTACACGTCATTAAAGCTGAGGGCTGGGAAAAAACCCACAGTATAGGGAGAGCAATGGGTCAGGGCAGCTGCCACCGTTTAAACCCATTACCATGGCTGCATGTGCTTAGTCTCTCCAAAAGCAGGCGAGGACAAGGCCTCTCTTATCCCCTTTCTTCTCCTCTAAGTCTCCCTGTAACCACCCTGGCAGGTACCGCACCGAGCGGCTCAAGGAGAGAAGATGTCTGATGGAGAAGGGGAGCGAGCGGACGGCGCTAAGCAATGCCAGCTGGGATTGCCGTCAGTTGACGGCTGCGAGTCTGGCTGCACTCCCGGCCACATCTGCTGCCATGGACAAACGCCTTCTCATTCAGGGAAGTGGCAAACAATTCCAGCTGTTCCTGCGACTCCACCCAACCTTCTCCTGATGAGGGACAAAGCCATGAAAATCCCCTCTGAGTTTTGGTTTACTAACTGCATGCTCTTCAAGCGCTGCTTGTCTTGGCTCACGCCTTATAAAAAGGCTGAGATTAGGCACTCTCAATTTATTTTCATAGTTCAGAAAACTTCAAAGTACTCATTTAGGAATGCAGTTCTCATGGCAGCATTGGGATGGAGCAAGATTTAATTTAGCGGGTGATTTTTATTGCCTTTGCAGAACTACTACTATTTTAAGCCAACAGATTTGGCACGCACTTCGAGCCGATCACCCATTTTGTGATTTACAATCCATTTTATGATTTGCGATGTAGCTAACAGTCACCATTACTAGCAACGCAGACGCAAGGAAAAAAAAAAGTCAGACCTGGTATTACACACCATTGCAAAAACTAATTTTTGTACCTGGAATTCAAAACCACTGCTGTATCTTTTCTTCGGTGTACTTCTACATAAAACTCACGACGACCACCTCCGACAGCATCCACCACAGTTGCCCTTCAGGAGTACACGAGCATCACTACAGCATTTGCCTCTACCGCAGACAACTCCTGTCACAAAATCGCGCTTCGATACCGCCATTCAAAAACCGCTCTGAACAAGCTCACCTGGTAAAAAGCCATCAACCCGCTCCCTCAATACTGCTGGGAGCACAACCCCACCTGCAGCATACCCGCCCTTCTGACCGAAACAGATAAACCAGCAGAAATCTCTACTCGGTTTGAATTACCTGAGGCAATTTTTACATGTACCCTCAAAAGAGTATGATGCTGCGGTAAGAGAAACAAATGGACCTTTTTTTTCCCCCCCCCCCAATTTAAATACATTTTGAAGTCTGGGTTGAACAGGATTATTTGCCCGGCCAGGCTTTGAAGACACACACCCGTGCATACGCACACTGCGCATCCTGATCTCAGTAGTGAGATCAGACCCTTTAGAGAAGCTGAGTGTTTGCCTCCTGAACATACCTAGAAGTTTTGAGACTTGACCAAAACCTTGTTAACCATCACAGCTTCTTCTCCCCTGTCAGGGGAATAGCCAGATACAGGAAGACGGAGAGACGTCCTCTCCTCTCCAAGGAGGACGTTGCCCCAGCGGCCAAGGTCCCGCGGCGGCACGCCCCGAGCAGCAAAGCACTGCCGCAGCACAGCGCGGTCCTGGCCCGCGGCCGAGCGGCTCCTTGAGCCCATCGGTAGCAAGGCGGGCGTCCGAAGTGACCCCGCGCAGGTGGCAAATCAATTGCTGACGCCAAATTAAATAAACCGAACAAGACGACGACATGGAAAACATTCCTTTGGTTGCGGTTATCAGCTGGTTTGAATTACGCTAAAGTCCAAGGACACTTCTTGGAATTAGGGTCCTACTCCATTATACGCTCGCAGGAAACCATACGCATTTCTTAAGAGTATTGAGAGCTGCTGCCACAGTCAGACCTTTACTGAGGTCAAGGGTATGCTTTTTGAGGCAAGGCACATGGTTTTCCACGCGTCTGAGCAGTCTGTGACCGCTGTGTGTCAACTGGGGTCAATATTACCCTAATTGAAAAAACACAAACAAACAAGGGTGCATGAAACGTGTTCAAGACCGCTAGATCCTTTCAACACTTTTAAGAGCTAATGAACACCTGAGCTGAGGAAAGCACTGGAGAAAGAAGAAAAGCAAGGCTATGCTTTTATTTAACACTAAAACGTGCGGTCACAGCCTAAAGAACTGAAAAATGTTTTCATCACATGAACTAATGAAAGGTTTCTGCTTCATTAGTCTGTTATGAACAGTGCTCATCCAAGATTCTCATCTTGCAAACCAATTAACTGTTACATAGCATGAAATGGGATAAAATCCCCAAGAATTGTTAAAAAAATTAAATCCTAAGTAATTTATACCATTGTTTTATGTTCTGCAACATATACACCTTTAAAATTGAGTCTTAAAGAGAGCTGGGTAAGCAAGCAAATATGACTTTTACACAATAAGACTACGCAGCTGGCTTTAAGGCAACCCAGACGCTTTCTGCTTTGGCAAGCCTGACCCTCAATGTGCAACTGAGATTCTCAGTTTGAGTCAGCATCTTGTCCAACTTTCTCCTTCTGCCTCTAACTGCAAAAACTCTACCCGTGTTATACTATACGTGCCACGCCGTAAACATTAAAAGGTAAAATCTTGGCCCTTAAACTTTGCCTTTCCATGTGGTTTGGATTTCAGTTGAAGTCATGAAGGTTCTACAGAATAGACGCGTTGTCTATCCAGCCACCTTGCACATGGGATTTAAGTGGTCGTGACTGAGCTGGGCTTGCATCCTGCTAGAATGACAGGGTAAAACAATCTGACTGTTTTCTGCAGACACTGAACTGCCATGTTTCTCAAGACGTAAAACCGTGCCACAATCATTCACACGCTAACAGCACGAAAAGCAAAGGGTTCCTTAGAAGCTCCCATGAAGAGGTTTTCAAAAGCATCCAAGAACCTCAGCAATCCTGTCTTTTGTTTAAAAGGTAAAATAGGTACCTAAAAGTCAAAGAAAAAGTCAATGCAATACTGAATCTCAAAGGCTTAAGCGGCAACTGTGGTCTAAGTACTTCTCGCCCGGTGACAATATATTTTATAGCTCCTCATATTGAATTACTCTAAAAGAACGAAGAAGGAACTAAAATAAAACTAGAACTCTGATCAAATGCAGGGAGTCACGAAACACCATAGATGTGAACAAATCTGCTCAAAGTGATGCCAATTAATTAGTATTTCAGCAAGGTTGTCCGTGTAGTGAAGCCGTCGTAAGTCAGCAATACAAACGTAGAGCAATCTGAAATTTAGAAAGGCTGCTTCTGTGTATGGAAGAGAAATGGCATCTCGCAAACAGTTCATACTGTACTCAGGTTAATGGAGATACGTTAATGGTGAAACACTTGGTTTCAAAACAAACCAGCCAGCTACCTACAGTACGCTGAGTTTCGGTTAAGCAAATTCACATTAGGGAAGACGTTAGTTCCAGCTGCTCAGTCTATGAAATCATGAACATATGTTTAATTTCAAATAAATGTGGAAAGCAAATCCCTAGATAAATTAAAGACTTCCATCATTTAAACTGGAGTTCAACATCATTATGCATTTTTTAAGCCGCTTCTACTTCCTGATGTTCCCTTACATTCAAATGCCTCATATGCCTTCCAGCCACGCAAGCCCCTGACTACCATCCCAAGGAGGAGGTGGGTACACGTTTTGCATGTCATGCAAAAACCCTCTTAAAGGTAAGCAGTGATGAAAATTAAAAGGTCATGACTATTCATAAGTGAAAAGCAGGAGCATGTCTGTTTCTACAGAAATATCTTTTACTCTACTATTTTTTTGCTTCTACAGTCAAAATTCAACCTCTCAGAGGGACTGTGGATAACCAGGAAAGCAGCTGGACTAATGCCATGTTCCAAAAACAAAATGGGATTTCCTAAGAGAAGAAAGATTTTGACAAAGAGTTTAAAAGGTGGCTTCATTTGTTCTTGCTATTATGTCCTTCACGCTGACTTTTAAGGAGGAAGGCACACTCCCCGCCATCAAGCATCCATCAGTCTCTGATGCACCACTGAGGAGGACAGTTTCCCCACGCACATCAGGCACATAGGAGCTTTGAAAAAAGCAGAACGGGGTGGTGGTCATGGGAAACAAAGATACAAGTGCAAACAAAGACGACACACATTTCCAATGTATCCCAGCCTCAAAAAAATAAATGCAAAAAATCTGTACAAAGCTTTATGGGAAAAGAAAAAAGCGTCAACCCCCTTTTTCCCCCCGGAAAGACTACCGTGGATATGCCCTCGGCGGGAGCTGCTGGGGAAGCAGAATTACCTGTTGTGCCAGGAGAGAGAACGTCTCCCGGGGCTGATGAGAAGCCCATGGGGTTTACGAGGCCAGCGGGCAGAAGCCCAAGCAAATAACCAAGTGCAACAGTTAAGAAAGGCACCATCCACTGAAGATGACCAGCAAGAGAGTCATGTACTTAATGCAACAAAAGTAATTTTTGTCCACAGTACACGCTCTTCAAAAAGATTTATACCATCTGAGTCTCCAAATATAAAGAAAAATAAATTTTCCTAGGTCATGGTTGATTTAGCTCTTTTCTTCTGCCAGAAACATGCTTAGAACTATTTGCACTGGAAGGTTTTTCCTAACTGAGTCGCCACTCTAGCGGCCTTACTTCGCCATCCTTAACTATCAGTTATTATTCCAGTACAAGTCGCAACTACATATTTTAAGACAGATGTATCCTTCATGGTGTTGCTCACACTTCACCCTCTATTTATAACCCTGACCCACAACATAAACGCGCTTCGCTTAATTCTACCGTTTTGCTTTACCAAGTTCCATGTTTAAATTGCTTATCTGTGCTATGAAGAAACAAAGGCACCTTTGGTTTAACATCCTGCCAGTGAGAATTAGACCAAAACCGAATAAAACCCCGGTAAGGAAACAGCCACCGTGGGATCTGCAATCCGCAACACCTTCAAAATAGTCAATGCACAAATTGGCAAAACGAGCTGGAACGCATCTGCTGACCTTACTCCTCTGGGACTATCAGTGTGAGAATAACACGACTTGCGCTCTGAAGTCTTCTTGACACCCAAAACCCTAGCTTTAGCTTCTCATTTGAGATTGCCGTTTTAAAAGTTTGGCCCGTATAGACAAATACCCCTCACCATCCTTCTACAGTGAAAACTACATTCTTCCTAACAAGGAGCATTTAAACTTCTCAGCCACAAAAGGAAAAGTCCCTTATTACTCCCTTGCCTCCAAAAGGTGCATTAGCCCTTTGCGCGGCAAACGCTTGCATCCCAATCGTGAACAGTTACATCTCGTCATCAAACTACAATTTTACTTCAGTGCATGCTGAATTAGAGATTCAACTATTTCACACTTGCACCATTTTTAAGAATCAAGTAATAAGCACAAAAAAAAAATTGTCTTTTAGTACTTCACAGGGTTTAATAAAAATTTTCAATACAAGTTTTAGAGTCACTTTTGCACAGTCTCGAGTTGATAAATAGAAATACTTCAGAAAACCTGATGCTTCGGGGTGATTTCTGAAATATTTTTTAAAATTTAGCTTCCATATATTGCTGCAACTGTTTAGTTTGTGTTTAGATCAGGCTCAGGAAAAGAACTGCCTCAGAAAGCATTTAACATAAATCATCTAGCTGCTTGTTGATTCACTTTGTCTACCTCCACTTGATGTCGAAATACCCAAGAATTATTGAAACACTTATTAAGCAACACTGTATGCACATATTGTCAAAAAGAAGAGGTAACTAAGAATTTAGAAACTAAAACTGATCACATGGACCCCATGAAGGGGCTGATAAAATTTAGCAGAGAAGCCTTCACAATATCCATTTTAAATGTAAATTAATGCAATCGCAAGAGCAATACATCCACGTGAGTGATCAAAGACTTTTTTTTAAACACGCTAACAGCAGAAACCAAACATCCAGACAGAGTGCAACTTGTACAGCTTGTTCTGGCTGCCAACCTGGTTCAACCAGACAAGCACGTTCAGAACCCCACGGCCATCGGCACTGGAAAGGAAAACTGGATTTTGCACTCAGGTTCCGAATAAGCAGGCAAAAGCCAATCATTAGTGGAAATAATAGCTGAAAGATGTTGGTGTGGCACGCACCTTCAGTATCATCACGCAATTGCTCCACCACATCTGTCAAATCCTCCCAAGAGTCTTTGCAAACAGCAAAAAGAAAGGAAAAGAAAGAAAATGTCATGCAAGCCATGATCTAAAGGAAAGATTCAAAATCAACGTTTAAAAAAGGATAACTGAAAGGGAGATTTGCGTAATACAAGACTTAATTCATAGTGGCAAGAGATTTGCAAGTCAAAAGTGTTTATTAGTCTCCACAAAGCAATACAGCAAAGCATTTTTTTACTTAAGAGTCAAATTAAGGCAGGTTTCAGTAAAGCTTTTTCAGTTCATTCATTAAAAATGAACCTTTAGAAGCTTCATTTCTTCCCGCATTAAGACAACGTTTTGGTAAAGCACATCCTAAAAAGAAAAGCAAGAGCAGCATTATTTTGTTTGTCAGATCAAAGCACTAAACTTTTGATATTTATGCAGTGTCAGCATTTTCTTCAATTTCCTCCTACCCAGCCCCAAGAAGAACCCCCCAACAGGGACACACAGCCACACATGAAAAGCAAGCACGTTTCAGGAAAAGGACATAGTGAGGACGTTTTAAGTAAGGTTAAACAGAGCTTTAACTCCATTACAACCGTCACTCCAAGTGAAAAATCTTGCAGAGGTGATCCAACCGAGCCTGGACGCGGGTCACAGGTTTTATGTCGTCGTTCAGATGATGATTCGCTAAGGCCTCCATCAGGAAAACACCTCTATGTCCTTGCCGGGAGCCTGCAGGCGGCTGGCAGGCACGGGGAGGAGGCAGGTATCCTGGGAGAGGAGCAGGCAGGACAAGGAAAACTTGTTTCCTAATTCCCAGGTTTCAAACCCAGAAAACAAAGCCAGACGAAGGCCCGGAAGGTGGGAACCCTGCGGGATTGTCAGCTCCCTACTTACGTGCTCGCTCCCCCCAGCGCTCATTTGCCATCAGTTGAACGTCAGAAGCACAAGAAAGGCTCTATTCCCCTTTACCGGCCAACCGTGCCGAAGTCCTGAGCAAAGTACACACGCCACTAGGACCTCCTCCCTCCCACGGAAAAGCTACAGCCAGCCTCCTCCTGCTTGCAGGAGCTAGCGTCGGCTAGCAAACAGCAAATTCACAGGCACTGCATTTAAAGCAAAAAAAAAAAAAGTCTAAGTATCAGTACAACTAATAAGTGAACTGATCCCCTGTCTCTGATGCTTTCCTGAACTCTACTGCACTCTTACCTCGGAGTGCTACAATGGGTCACTTTTAAGGCTTCCCTCCTTTTTTGGGTTTTTTTTTTTGGTTTGTTTGCTTGGGGTTTTTTCGGACTTAAAACACAGATGTTAGCATGATTGAGAAACTCAGTATTCACAGAAAATGCTTTGCGTAACAAAATTACATCAACAAGCTAATAGAGCTTGTGTTTACTAGCTGTGTTTCTAGCATTTCTGAAAATGAATCAGATGAGAACCTAGCTGCCCATGCAGCTCTTTCTTTAACTCCAGTTTCCATTACATGCAAGGGTCCGAACCAGATTCCGACCACCCCGGGAGCCCTACCTGCATACTGAGACTGAAGCCAGCCACCATCGCAGAACGGTCTGTTACCTAATACCGACCGTTTGGGTTTTTTTCCTTAATCTAAAGTGTAAATGGTGAAGAACATCTCATAACCGAAACAAGATTTACCGTTAGCTTCGTAACGGGGACAGAGAAAAGTGCCAGGCTTCACTTGATCTTTTCATGTGATCTTTC